ATGGAAAGTATCATACTAAGCGAAATGAGTCAGAAAGAGAGGGATAGACATAGAAAGATTGCATTCATCTGGGGAATATAAAGTAACAAAATATGAGATTAATACCCAAGAATAGCTGAGATCAGCACCAGGAGGATTACTCCATAACTTAGAGGCCAGCAGGGCATTCTAGGGGAAAGGGCAGCTCAAATAGAGAAGGGAGCACCAAATAAAGGATGTTTAGAGGATCCTCCCAGGAGGGGAGATGCATGTTGAAAGTAGACTATGGGTTGAACATGTTTGCCACTCAATGCCTCTTTTGCAGACCACAACACCCAAAAGGAGAGAGAACACAAGGAATTGCCCAGCCACAGAGGCAGGGTGGGATGGGAGGGATGGGGGTGGGAGGGATACTATCCATGGTGGTGGAAAATGGGCACTGGTGGAGGGATGGGTATTTGATCATTGTATAATCGAAACCCAAGCACAAAAAATTGTAAATCCACAACTGTACCTCATGGTGTTTCACTAATAATAATAAAAAAAAATAGTAAAAAAAAAAAAATAAATGGGCATGAACTCCACCTTACCTTTTTTTCCCTTTTTTTAAATAATTTTATTTATTGAATCACCATGAGAGAAGTTAAAAAGCTTTCGGGTTTAAGTCTTGGTCACACAATGAAACACCTGTCCCTTCACCAATGCCCATTTTCCACCACAAAAACAGTATACCCCCATCCCACACCCTCTCCCTACCTGTGGGGCAGATGATTTCCACATTACTCTCTCTCTACTTTGATCACAGTCAATATTTCAACAGCAGACCCACCATTATTTTTTGGGACTTTACCCCAACACTCAGATCTGCCAAAAAGACAAGAGTAGACAATTTGTTTTCTATTGCTGGTTATAAATAACATATGATTTTGGAATTCTGAAATTTTAACAATGAAATCTGGAGGGATTTCTGCCAAAACCTGCTGGGTTCCGAGATTTGTTCCTGAGTCTCTGGGATCATGGCTGTTAAGCAGCTTGATCAGGAGCCAGAGAGGCCATTCTTGGGCAGCAACTCAGGGTCTCGTTGGGGCAGGAAGGAAAGGGCCGGGTCCACCCCCATCCCCCACGTGTCTTGTCACTGTGGGCCCAAACCTGACTGTCCAGGGGCCTCTGGAGGATGATGGCCACCGAGCCACCAGGGGGAACAAGCCAGGGCACAAAACCTATTCCCACCTTGGGTGACCTGGTGCTGGTAACCTACTGCGGGGACCAGACGCATTTCTGCCAAAAGCTGCTGGGTTCCAAAGTTTGTTTCTGAGTCTCTGGGATCGTGGCTGTTAAGCAGACACTTATCCATCTTCATGATCTACTTATCCACCACTGGACACCTAGTTTGTTTCCATATCTTAGTTATCATACTGAGTCTGCAATGAATAATTGCATATGTGCATATGTCTTTTGAATGAATGTTTCTGTGTCCTGGGGTCTGAGCATCCAGAAGTGGGACTGCTGGGTTATGTGGAAGGTCAATTCCTACTGAGATATTTGATACTTCTTTCCACAAAGGTTGAAAAACAGACCACATTCCCCAGTCATGGATGAGTGTTCATCTTTCACCACACCTCTGATATCACAGATTGTTCCTAGTATTTTCTCTCTGTGTCATTCACACAGTGTGAGATGGTGTCTCATTGTCTTCTTGATTTGAATTTCCTTCGTAATAAGTGAAGATGAGTATCTTCTTGCATGACTATTGGCCATTGTCAGTTTTTTGTCAGAGAAGTCCCTCTTTATATTTTCACTCCCCATTTTGATTATTTTTATTTAATATTTAAAAGTTATTTTTATGGAATCACAGTGAGTACACATTTACAAAGTTGTTTGTAATTTTGTAATTTTGTAATATGATTGAGTCCTGGTTATATAATATTCTAACACCTGTCTCTTCACCAGTGCACATTTCCCACCACCAATGACCCCAGTTTCCCTACTCCTGCCCCCCCACTGCCTCTATGACAGGTACTTTTCTTCTCTCGCCCTCTTTCCCTTCCCACCTCTTCTCTCTCTCTCTCTTTCTCTCTCTTTTCATCTTTAAAAAAATTTTAAAAGTGAGACATCATGAGGTACAGTTGCAGACTTACACATCTTTGTGCTTGGGTTTCAATTATACAATGATCAAATACCCATCCCTCCACTGGTGCCCATTTCCCACCACCACGGATCCCAGCATGCCTCCCACCCCCCCAACCCCCATCTCTCTCTCTCTCTCTTTCTCTCTCCTTTTGGGGCTTATGTTTTACAATATAGAGACTGAAAGGTAGCCAGGTGTATTTCTTTACCTACTTCAACACTCAGTTCCTGTCCAAGTGATTATTTCCAATTATTTAAGATTTTGAATGTCTTTATTATTGGTATTTGTGAGTGCTGAATATAAACCCTTTATCTGATGTGTTTATGCAAACATTTTCCCCATTCAGTTAGCTCTCTTTTAGTTTTAATCTGTTACTTTTGCTATGCAGAAATTTTTTAACTTGATGTCGTCCCATTTGTTTATTTTTTTATTCTGTTGTCTTTGCCAGTGACATTGTGTTATTGAAGACTCCTTTGAGGTCTAGATATGAATGCATTTGCTTATATCTTCCTCGGTGTATTTTATGATCTCAAGGTCTATTTTGAATTGACTTTTGTGCAAAGAGTCAATGGATCCGGCTTTAATTCTTAAAAGTGGTTATCATGTTTCCAGCACCATTTGTTGAAGAGGATGTTTTTATTCCATTTTATGCGTTTAGTTGACTATATATATGGGGATTTGTCCTTGGATATTCTATTGTGACCATTCTTGGACATTCTAATCAATCCAAGAGCATGGGAAATTTTTTCTTTTCCTAAAGTTTTCTATTTCTTTCTGAACTGTTTTGACATTTTCATGGTATTGATCTCTAATTTAGCTTATATTGAAAAATATGGTTGTAGGGGATCCATTAAATATGCCTAGCTGGTTTTATACTTTTGAAATTTGTCTCTCATTTTTTTCATATTGACCAGCATAACTAATTTTTGGTTATATGTGAAGGACAAGGTAGCTATATTCACAATTCAGAGACTTTATGGAGTTATCTGCAGAGAAATGTTCATATTTATCTTTCTTTGTTTAAGAAAGAAAAATAAAACAGAGGAAATGGAAAAACCATTTCTGTATCTCTCAGAAAGCTACTGTACTGGCTCACCTTTTGGGTAATTTTTTAATTTGGAGATGAACCCAGATCTCTCACCGGTGAGAGATCTCTTCCACTGAGCACACCTTAGGCCAGGTTTATTATTTTTAAATGCTTTGTGATTTAGAGGCTTTGTTTTCCAGTCAGCTAATATTTGCCTTGCCAGACCTTTCGCATTTCTTGGGCTGATCTTGGAAAACAAGAATTGCCATGAGATCTCAAGGCATCAGCTTAGTGGAGATATCGGGGCTGTGAGTTTACCAGATGACTGGAGTCTGATAACCGTCCCTTGGTTGCTGTGCAGAGTCGAGGTGAAGAATGAGGCTTTGGTGAATGCTTTCTTTGAAGACTCCCCTCTACTCTGAAAACCCCTTCTTCATGAAAAAGGGGTTGAGGTACTTTTACAATAACAGAGCCTGTCCCGTTGATTGAACTCTAAACCATTCCCACCCACACCATAGCTATTCTGCTGCTCAGTGGTGTGGAAGTCATCCTGAAGAGGGAGCAGAATGTCTTGGGTCATTCAGAAATGGAAACTCACAAACAGAGCCCACTGGAGACTGTTCTCTGGGCAAAAATCAAAGCACCCACGATGTACACCATTCTGATGGATGCCGGATACAAAACCAAACACCGTATCCCACAATTCAACTTCGCTGTTCTCCACTCCTTTCCACTCTGGAGTCTTAGCTTTTTGCCTTTTTTCAATTTTTAGGGAGAGAAAACTCGGCCTCTCTTAATACTTAATGAATATTTATGAGGCCTTTCATCCATTAAAGGCTCATTAAAATTCACTTTGAAAGAACAGAGATAAAAACACTTTTTATGACCACAGCAAAATGTGGTGGCAAGGAGAAACTCACATGTTTCCTCATGAATTAAGTCAAAATACTGCACAAATGAACCCAGATTCTGTTTTAAAAATAAGATATTGGGTATAGCACATGCATCCGATTATTATGTGGTAGTTGTGGCAAGGGTTTGCCTGATTTTCCTTTTCTGAAGAACTCGGAAATCCTCCTTATAAAATGTCACATTAAAATGGGTCTCAGTAGGTGATCAGGCTTTGGAGTAGGGCATTTTGGTGGAAGTTTGTTTGAACTCTTTAGAGCTCTTATATAACTTCGACCAAATTCTCTCGCTGCCTCCGTGTTGCTGTTGTAATTTAGGGGAAATGAAACCCATGACCATTCAGCTTGCTGGAAGAAGCATCTGAGTCAAAACATGTAAAGCAATTAGAGCAGCGCCTGGCGCCTGGATTTTCTTGTCCTTGAGAAAAATTTCGTTCCAATTTACACTTCTTGGACCTAGGTAGGGCCTTTGGGAATGCCAGAGATGATACTGAGGAAGAGGAAGTGAACTCGCTCTTCTGGTGGAATGCGAGGGGAGGGAGTATTTTAGCTCCATTCTTCATTTCTGTTTTTTTTTTCCTTTCTTTCCTACCAGAATCCCAACACCCTTTGTACTGCTAATACAGAGATCTTAGATTTCAGTTGTTCATTTTGTCTAAATATGGCACACGAAATATAGAGTGCCTAAAAGTACATTCGCTTTCTTTCCAAAGCACAGTCTTTTATGAAAAAAGAGCTTGCTGGTGCTGACAAACTAGAGAAGGGATACCATTTTTTTTATTGTTACTCCTTGTAAAATAATTGTTTTTGGATAAAGGGGATAAAGAAATATCTTCACATCAAATCAGACAAAGAACTAGAAAGTTCCATGTCAGCGCTCTGATTTTAACTATCCAATATAAATATCTCTGGGAGCTAACAGATAAGTAATCCATTCACACGTTTCTCTTTCCAGGCAGTGTAAACATTTGCAAAAGCTGGAATCCCAAACTCTGTGATTCTGCTGATAAATGTATTCCTCTAAAGACCATCCTCGGATTCTCAAGTAAGTTGCCATCGTAGTTTACACAATGTAGTTTGGGAGGTTAAATTTGTCCTTGTCAAGTGCTGAGTGCTGCTATTTAACTCAAACCTTATCTTTAAGACATGCCTCATAAATTTAATTATAATTAGTCATAGTTTCTACTGGAATTTTTACTGCTTTTCCCATCTGTTCTTGGAGTCTGTGCAAGGTGTTTTATTGATTTCATAGTGACTGAGTTAACTTGCACTTTTAGTAAGCTAGTGTCTTTTGGGAAACATCACTGTGGTTTTTGATGACAGTTTAAGGAGATGAAAGGAGTCACCGCAATCCATCACACGGTCCTCACAGGAGGATACTTACTATCACGTGTTTTGTATTTTTACAAGTGTCATGCATCTTAGAGGATTAGTAACGATTCCAGTGGCAGGACATTGGTCTGCTCACTATTTGAGGGTGACTGTGTCCAAGAATGCTGACCCCAGTCTTTGATTGTCGCTAAATTTGTCATCACAGTTCTTAGCCCTTTAGTCCTAACCTGGGACCAGAGAGGCAGCACTTAGGACACGCAGCCGTGTGAGAGATTCCCTAGGTCTCCCGGCCATGGGTGCAGACACCTTGGCTGTGCCCCACGGCTCCTGGTCTTAGCTGGGTGTGGCCTATCCCTCCCTCCTGCCATCCAGCCATGACCGTTTCTTTTCCTTATAGGATCAGAATCATTAAGTTGTCCAATGTCAAGAAAGAAAAGGAGGTCCAGATGTCGAATTATAAGTGTCCCGAAACTGTAAAACAGACTCTGTAAAGCTCTCTCTTTCTTCTTTTTTTCTTGGCAGGGGAGAGGGAATGATGGGGATGGAGTGACCATTAGTGTGTTCAGAAAACATTCCCTTAATCCCTGAATCGAGTGCCAGGAAAAAAATGTTTAGTAAATATGCTGACATCTTCCCAAGGGCTCTGCCTTTGTGCTTCACGACCCCCCACTTCACTGTGTACGCAGTAAAATTTCAGAACAAACTGAGGCTTTGCTTGGAGAAATGGGCTTATTTCATATTCTGAAGGAATTTGTTCCAACTTCACATTCATACATATGAATATTCATATTGATAATATGTTTGAGAAAAGTCTTACAGTTCAATTAGTTTGACCATTTTATTTATTTTGCTTTTTGGGTCACACCCGGCGATGCTCAAGGGTTAACTCCTTGCTCTGTACTCAGGAATCACTCCTGGCAGAGCTCAGGGAACCATATTTGACGCTGGGAATTGAACCCTTGTCGGCTGCGTGCAAGGCAAATGCCCTACCCGCTGTGCTATTGCTCCAGCCCTCTCGCTTGTCCATTTGAATAGGAGATATATTTGCTGCTCTAAATCCACTTTGGAAGGCTATAATCTACCATTAAAAGCATTTTTAAACTTGAAATCTTAAATGTCTGTCTTTCAAAAGTTTGCCAGGAGGCTTCCAGGGAGGGTGTGCCTGGCCTCCCATTCAGTCGGCTGCAGAGCCAGGCTGCTCTGCACCGTCAGGCCTGAGTCTGAGCCTTCAGATCTGCAGACACAAAGGTCCTGCTAGGACGGACTCCCCAGACGCCCAAGCACTGCCTGGGAGTCTCCACCCAAACAAAGAGGTTACAGAGAAAGCACCGCATGGAGGATGTCTCATACCTCTGACACCATGCATGAGCACCACAGCCAGGAAGTGCATCCCTGGGGGACAAGGTGTGAGCCTTCCAGGAGCCCATAACACACCCATCCTGGTAGGTGACTCCTGGCAGCACCACGGCAAGGATGTGTGAGGGGCACCATTTGCCCCACTCACCACAGTGACATAATCAGTGAGTCGGTCACAGGACAGGGGCTGCAGAAGGTGGAATAAAAACAATCCAGGTGAACATAATTTTCACCAAAACTAAAATCAGAGTTGCTGCATGCTTAAACCACTTAAATTCACACTAAAATTCCGTGGTGACCAGTTTCTGGTGATTTTGTTCTCTTCTGTAAAGAGATTCCCATGGGAAGTCTTGTTCTAAGCATTCTCTGTGTGTATGGAGGTTGGATATATATATATATATATATATATATATATATATATATATATATATATATATTTGCTTTTTGGGTCACACCTGGCGATGCACAGGGGTTACTCCTGGCTCTGCACTCAGGAATCACTCCTGGCGGTGCTCAGGGAACCATATGGGATGCTGGGAATCGAACCCGGGTCGGCCATGTGCAAGGCAGATGCCCTACCCACTGGGCTATTGCTCCAGCCCCCTGGATATATTTTTTGATGCCTCAATGATAATCATTTAGATTATTCATCAGTTGGGGGACCCATGTATAGAAACTCTATCAAGGACAGCAATTGATAGGGCAGAGAGTTCGTCAGCAACTGTTCTTCGGTATCTCCTGTACAACTTGAGAAGGTTTCATGGAAACCAAGAGGGATGCATATGGTATTGTTTATAAGGACGTGACAGAGGGCGTCAGAGAGTTAGCATTTGTGGATCAAAACAGAGTTATGGCCAAAGTTAAATGGCATTGATGAGGAAGGGGAGGGTAGGCTGTGGAGGCTGGAGTGATAAATCACTCGTGAGTCACATGGGCTCCAAGACGTCCTACGGGCTGTGGAACCAACTGGGACAGACGTTTGTTTATTCATTTCTATATTTATGTTTGGCTTTTTGAACCTACTCCTGGTGGTGCTCAGGGCCTTTTCCTTGCTTTGCACTCAAGGGTCACTTCTGTTGGTGCTTTGGGGACTGTATGTGGCGCCCGGGATTGAACTGAGGGTGACCACATGCAAGCGCCACTTCCGGTGCTTTTGCTCTGGCCCCTGATTGGCTAATTTTGCTCCAGCTTTTTTTGTTCTGCAAGCACCTGTCAGCAGTGCTCCTTGCAGAAGGCAGAGGGAGAGGGACCGAAGGACCTGCAGTGGCAGTGCCTAGGTCAGGGGGGAGAGCGAAAGGGAGCAGTGCTGTACAGGCCAGAGAGCTCGGGATGAGGGGAGCCTGTGCTCACCACCAGGAAGAAAGCAGAACTCACCCAGAAGTATAAGCAAATGACAGCAGCCACCGCCTCCTCCTCCTCCTCTTCATCCTCTTCCTCCTCCCCCCCCCCTCCTGGTGCTTGTTGTTTTGTATTATGTGATTGAGGTGAAGCATTTATGAGGGGGAGTAATAATCTCAGCTCAGCCCTCAGATCCCCCATCATCCTCAGTCATCTATGAAGATGGCCCTAATTCTGCAAAGGTTCATATTAAATGGACCAGAGAGGCAGACGGAGGGGACGGGCCACAGTTCAGGGGTGCAGGAGCACTGTTATGGGATCAGCTGTCCTGGGGAGGGCCCCCTGCAGCGTAGCTGTTGTCAACAGCCTGTGAGGGGTCCTCAGGGGTTGTCGTCACAGTTCTCCCCAGGGACCTTTGACCCACACGCGCTGCCACTGTCCCCCAGCCTGTTAACCTAGAATGGAATTGAAGTGAGGCAACTATGTTTCTGGAGTTTGAAAAGTTTATGGATATTGGCCAAAAGTGTGTCAGGAAATCCAACTGCTTCTTAAATTTTATTTTCAAGTTGTTTTCCAAAATGGGTATGCTTACCAAGTAGCAATGGGTATATGTTTATTGATTGAATAGCAAGTCCACAATAAAAACACAGACACACCTGAAAGCATCACAGTCATTAATACACATGGTCATTATAAGAGTGTGAGAATGGTCCTTGAACTCGAGTCAGTGGTCCTCAAAACATTTGAATAGGGAGATGCTGAATATTCCTCGTCAGACAAATCAGCTCACGCCCGCAGTTACCTCATGCACAGGGGTTACTCCTGGCTCTACACTCAGGAATTACCCCTGCGGTGCTCAGGGGACCATACGGGATACTGGGAATCAAACCCGGGTTGCCCGTGTGCAAGGCAAATGCCCCACCCACTGTGCTATTGCTCCAGCCCCCAATGAGAAATATTTCTAAATTAAAATCCCCTTTAGGGCCAAGAGATAGTACTGTGGTTAATACACCCACTTTGCTTGCAGCTGATGCAGGTTTCATCCCTGACACTACACAGGGTCTTCCAAGCCCCAGGGGTGATCCCTGAGCACAGAGCCAGAAGTAACCTGAGTGCTCAAGATTAGGACCCCCCCCAAAATAAAAAATAAACAACCCCCACCTCCAAACATAAACAACCTTAACACAAATCAAGGTAGGTCACTAAGACATGCTCTCGTTTTTAATTGCAGTTGAATACACATTAAAAATAAACAGCTAAACCAGTCAACCAGTCAAGTACTCAACCAGCCAACCAAACCAAACAAGGCACCTTTGTTTAATAATATCCTAAATGAAGCAGTAAAAAAATGTTAATTTTATTAAACTCCAACCTCTGTGTAAATGTCTTTAATACTTCATGAGAAATATGAAGTACACATAATGAGATTCCTCAGCTAACCAAAGGTTAATGGTTGCCTTGAGACTTTTTTCATAAAATGCAATTTTTATTAAAAAATGCCTTGACAGACTATGGTTTTTCAGACTCGGATATTTGAAGACATATTGTAAAACAAAATGGAGTGAAGCAAACCTGCCAAATCAGGGAAAACAATCGAGAGCATAGTTTCCTAATGCTAAAACTCAGATTTATCATTAAATGGAAATCAGAGTTGTGGAAAGCTTATAACCAAAGAGTTGATCTTCAAAACTGAACTAACCGAAATTCTTTCTCCCTGTGGTCAGAGTACTGGGAAGACACATTTGAATCCCCTGCTCAGCAACGCTTTTTTTTTTTTATTAGTGAGACACCATGAGGTACAGTTATAGACTTACAAATTTTTGTGCTTGGGTTTCAATTATACAATGATCAAATACCCATCCTTCCACCTCTTGATGTTCTCAAAGTATGCTGACTTCATTGGTAGGACTTCAGATTCCGAATCGCAAATAGCTTTTGGGAGACTCGTGTTCAGTAAAAGAATATCTACTATCACGTGAAAAGGCCTCTTGCAGATTTTTCATTCTACAGCGGCTTCTC